GCTGAAGTCCTCTCTGCAGCAGAACTGAAGGTTCTACTGTGTAAAAATACACCTGTTAGTAGTATTTATGTAGTATTTTCCTTCTTTCATAATTTTCTGCCAGTCACTAATATTATTACAGCATTGTTATGACAGAAGGGTTACACTGTAGATGAGATTAGCTCCAACAGTGACACTGACAGTACATTTATATGAACCTACAGAGAACTCTCCGTGACCTCCTGAGGTCGACGGAACTGTTTTGTTGTGTGGGTCACGTGACGTTCAGGTCCAGTCTGTTCAAGTCAGCCGTAGTGTTTGCAGCAGACGTTGATTTAATTCACGTGTTTTCTTCCTTCATCCAGGACAAGAATATATTTGTGTTTTACAATAACCTGCAAGTACTACTGCTGCAAATACCATGCAGTAAATCATGTAAATATTGAAGTGGCTGTTGTTAGAAGAGAGGACTTCATTAATATTTACTACTCTCTCTTTCATGTCCACTGTCTCTCTTCCTCTGTCCTTTTCTCCTTAGGTTGTAAACTGGTCAGTCTGTGGTGGAGGTGTGACTACTTCCTGCCTCCTCCTCCTCCTCCTCCGCCTCCTCCTCCTCCTCCTCCTCCTTCCCCTTCTGTCTCTGCAAAGCAGCTAGAGACTGCACTGCCTCTTTGCATATGAAAGTGGTGTGTGTGTGTGTGTGCCATGATCAGTCATGTCACTGGATGGTCAATACTTCATCTGTTGATTTGTTATTTTTGCCGAGACAAATTTTTATTCTGTTTAAATGATGATGATGTTGACAGAGAGAGGAGTTCTAAAGTAGAAGAGCAGAGGAGGAGAGGTCAGACTGTCCTGACCGAGGCAGAGGAGCTGCTTCATGGCATGTGTCTGGCGGATACCGTGTGAGGGAGTGTGTGTGTGTGATTATGTACTGCACAGACTACACAGTCGTCCTGTCAATGACTGATGTCACACCTCTTTTTCCTGAGAATTTAAACCAACAACCAACACACAGTCTTTTTGTGATAGTAAACACAACCAGTGTGTGAATAAACCTTTTTTCACACACTAGTGCCTGGTGCCTGGTGCTGGGACTAAAGACAGATGAGAACATGAACATGTGAACATGGTTTTTCACAGAGGTTTGGTTCACGGAGCCAGGAGGACGTCATGGAGGTGGAGGACTAATAGACAGGGCAGTAAAGAGGGGCAAAGAGACAGAGAGGAGTGTCAGGTGTAGTGTTTGTCTGAATGATGTATAGTGAGAGCTTAGAGACAGTGGCACCATATGAACACAAGGTGGCGGTGGGGCTGAAGATGCTGAGATGATGGAAAGGGATCAGAACAGACCAGAGGATGGGAGGCAGGAGATGAGATGGTGGAAGAAAGTCATCTGTGGGGGGGGACTGGAACTGAAAACACAGAGAAGGTCTGGAACTGTTTGTTGTCTTAACTCTGTCACTTGTTTCCAGGACTCTAATGGGTAACTCCAATGCCGGCCAGCTGCAGACCACACGTTTTGAGGAGGTTCTTCACAACTCCATCGAGGCATCGCTTCGGTCAAACATCGTCATTCCCAGACCCGTCTTCTCACAGCTGTACCTGGAGACGGAGCGGCCGCTGACCAACGATGGTGAGCTGGGTGAAGAAGACGCCACACTCTGACCTTCAGTCTCCAAGTCTTATAACATTTTTTATTCTACTGCTTAGTTACATGAGTTCTCATTTCTCAGGCCGTACAGAAAACGATGATGAAGACGATGAAGACGGCTCAGAGTCCAACAGCCCCACAATACCCTACCAGATGAAACCCACGCCCGAGGGCTGCTGCACCACAGACGGTTTGTGGATCAGTTTAGAATGTTGAGATTTAATTAAAGAAGATTTGTCAACAAAAATAATGTTGAGTTGAAGGGGTTCATGGAAAATGCTTCAAACTACAGAATATTTCTGTGTAAAATTGAAAAAAGTACAATATCTATATAAATATATCTGTACAAATATATCTGTATAAATATATATATATATATATAAATTCAGTTCCAAAACCCAGGTTCCACTCTATAAATATATTATAGTTCCTCATCATTTGACATTTACAAATGTACTGAGGGAGTACTACACTCCCACAGAGTATTATTCTCCCACAGAGCACAGAGTACTACACTCATGCAGTATTGGCTGGTGGGCGTTACTGCACTCATGCAGTATTGGCTGGTGGGCGTGTCTTGTGTGTGGTGAGATGTCGTTGATTTGTCAGTGTCCCAGTGACATCAGAGTAGAGTTTTCATCTGACTGACGTTCAGGTTGTATTTTTACCTCACGTATATACTGATACAATAAATGTTGACCTTCTGACCTCACAGGCTTCTGTCAGGAGGGAAGGGACCTGCGTCTGTCTTCGCTGTCAGCTGACTCACTGGACGTCCCCCCCGGGTTTGTGTTGGTGGGTGTGAAGTCATCCTCCCTCCCTGAGACCCTGCTGGTCTGTGCCGTGGACCACCGCTTCCTGCCCGATGAGCAGGGTCATAACGCACTCCTGGGTAAGATAGCAGGAAGGCCAAGTCACAGAACATGCAGGGTGGGAGTTAAGTTCTAACCTGGCCTCCTGTCACACCCTGCAGGCTTTTCAGGGAACTGCATGGGCTGTGGAGAGAAAGGCTTCAGGTACTTCACAGAGTTTTCTCAGCATATCAACCTGAAGCTCAGCACACAGCCAAAGAAACAGAAGCACTTAAAGTACCACCTGTACCGGAACAACCAGGGAGTCCTTGTGAAAGGCGCCCCCATCTGCTGGAGGGGTCACGGTGAGATGTCCAGCTGCTTTTGTTCCCATGGGTTTATTTTCAAAGTTGGCTTCAGTTCCACATGTTGGTGAAAGAAGAGAACACTGTACACAGACGCAGTGAAAAATACACCTTCTTCATGGTAGTTCTGTTATCATTCAGTGACAAACACAACTCACTATACACACCTGTGAACATGTGCTCATGTTGGACCTGCTAGGTCCACCAGGTCCACACTAGTGGACTTAGCAGGACGGTGAGGATATAGAACGTAGACACAGAACAGTCTGAGGGTTCTTTAAAGATAATCAGTGATTTGATGCCACAGTTCTCTGAGTAACCAGTAACCTTCACTAACCAGCCGTGGTCTGTCTTCATGAAGGAACCCCTACCAGTTTATCCACCTTTAGACTAATACCAGGAGAACACCTACTGTGCACCCCTAGTGGCTGCATTAAACATGTTTTTCAACTTTTGGAAAAAAGGAGGCTATAAAATAGAACAAGAGCAAATAGAGCCGTGGTTGATTTGATTGTCAAACACGTCACTGATGAATGTTTGAGTTTCCTCTGATTAATGAGCCTATCATCTGTTTTCAGATGGTCAGATGAGACGGACCAGCTCCACCCTCAAGGAAAGCCACGTGACATCAGAGGAACAGACACAGAACCTGGCAGCACATGTCCAGGGCGTCTGCACAGGTAGCACAGGTCACAGTCGTGTCTGTCAGATTCCAAAGAAGATCAGAGAAAAAAGAAGTCTGTTTTGTGCCACATTACATGCCCAAAATATCCTTACATGTGCTGTGCAACATGAACCAGTTTTTTTCTCTCTCCCTGCACCCCTCCAACCCCCCCCCCCCCCCCCCCCCCACATCTTACAGTGGAATCACGTGTGGACCCTGCTGCTCCACATGTCCAAACCAAACTCCCTCAGTCACTGACTAATGGAAACCACACTGCTCCGGCCGTCACTCAGCCTCCTCTTCATCAGTCAGGTCCTGGGAGAGCCACAGTTCCAGGTATTCATGAAACTTAACTGTATTATCTGTGTAACATCCACCTTCAGTCAAGATGGTGAAGGTCAAAGGTCAAATGAATGAAAATGGGGAAAAAAACAACTGTTGTCAGTGAGAACTGTTGTCAGTGGGTACGTGTAGTACATGTACATGTGAATATTAACATTATGGAACATAATGTAAACAAAAGTACACGTCATGTGTGTTTGTCTCCAATGTCAGCTGATATGTTAGCCCCTCCCCCACCTGACACCCTGTCACCACCCTATGTGCGTATTTTACAGCCCTGCTAGGCAGACAACTAGTTGCATTGTGTATTTGGGGGAGGAGGTGTTGGCCTTTGTTCCCCCTCTTCCATTTGCCATCACTTAGGACACTAAATGTCCCCCTCTCTCCTCTTTTCTGTGGTGTCTGCCTCCCAGTCTTCCCCTCTGTCTCTCACCTCAGTAAAGCCCTGTCGTAAAATTCCCTCTCTCCTCCTTTCATCCTCTTGGTGACTGAATGAAAAGCTTCCTTCCTTCCTTCCTTCCTTCCTTCCTTCCTGCCCTGGTTGTTGTCATTGGTCCTGTAACAGGTAGACCGTTTTATGTGTCTCCCTGCTGTGAATGACAACAGAGAGAGACAGAGGAAGAAGTGTCTGATTTATGACTGAACTGAAGCTGTCTCCACATCATCACTGTGCAAGTTTAAATTAGACAAACACCAGCTTTGATTCAACACAGAGAAATGTCACATGCTACGGGTTAATAAATCAATATGTTGTTGTAGTGATGTCTGACTGTCACAGCCTTGATAGGTGTTAGTACCGGTCTGTCTGTCGGTCTGTTACAATGTAGCTTTGACTGAGTGGAAACATGTCGTTCACGTCCAGGCTGTTGGTTTCATTTGATAGGGATTCATGTAAACGCTGGACCCCCCAAGAAGAGGCACAAGGGCTGGTCACCTGAGACAGCTGCAAACAGCCAATCAGAGAGCACATTGAAGATGCCCCCAGGCTCATCATCCTCAGGAGTGATACCTTCAGGTGGCATAAATGGAACTCGCTCAGGTATCAATACAAACATATATATACATATATACACACTGTATACATCTGTATATAAAGTAGTTGACTTGTGTTGATGTCCAGATTGTGCAGCGCTGCCAAAGCCATCTCAGAGTTTGACCACGCCTCCTCCACCCCTGGGGCTGTCTGTCACAGTGCCTGATCAACTGCTACACACCTGCAGACTCCAGCCTGTCATCTTCAAAGGTCAGTGACCTGATTCATCAATGATCAAAGTGATCAATGATCAAAGTGATCAATGATCTGCTGCTGTGACCACAGCAGAGATGAAGACGTCAGACGTCACTGATGACTTCTCCCTCTGATGTTACCTGGTACCAACAAACCTAGACTACCTGACCTGGTATCACTAAACTAGTTCCCACTTTTACCTCAACATACGTGAATGACTAATATTTAAACAGATTTATTTGACAGATATTAAAGGATCTTTTCCTCAGTTTCAGCCTGAACTTGAATAAAAACCCATCTTGTGACAGATGATCAGCTCATATTTCCTACATTCAGATGGCCTCAAAGATCAAAGGTCTTTCCACACTCAAGGCTGTTTCTCAGGCTGGTCTTTTTACCTCTGTGCGTGTCACCTGCTCACACATCAACATTCCCCTCTCATCTTCTGGGTCAGAGGTCACCAGCAGGCAGTAAGTGGTCTGGGTGGATACCAGGTGGAGTCCTGTCTGGATTTGAACCTACACCCCATCAGGCTATGTCAATCATGTTTACACTGACCTTTGTTTTAGTCCTTTCATCAGTGTGGTGCTGATATTACAGAGTTCACGTCAGGTGTCTGGAAAAACAGTCCTCTCTCTTTCCCACCACCTCACCTTTCATAGCATCTGCTGCTGTTTGGACGTTTGTCTGCAATTATGTATTATATGATCATAGGTGCAGATGGCATTAGTGATGGGGAGGGCATGACCCCCTCAGATTTAAAGAGACTCTGGCCCCCACCCCCACTGTCCCTAAATATAGTGACAAATATTGCTGGTAAAACCAGAGTAATGTTACATTTGTAACATGTTTGTGTGCTACAGTTTATGATGCGTTCAAGGAATATATGAATGTGGGGAATTTCCACGTTTAAACCTAAGCACAGACTAAGGAAAAACACCTCAGCTTTCCAACACCCATATAAAAACAATGAATAAAATGAATACATATAAATCTGTATATGTATTCATTTTATATTTTTATGTGTGTGTGTGTCAGCCAGTCCAACTGGTCCAAACCGTGTTTGTCTTTGTCATTGACACAGGCCACGGCCCGCTGCCTCCACTGACTGGTAATGTCAGTGAAGTACTGGTGAGTACTCTGCTGCAGAGCTGTTACCTGAGCTCTCAGGCCCTGCCCAGAGTCTACCAACATTATGGACCTTCACCCATCCAGCCTCTGTCCACTGAGATGCAGATTCTGCTCACAGTCTACTACCTGGTTCAGCTCGGTCAGTTCTCACACAGTCCAGGAGGATCATGGGTCATGATGAAGATGAATTCTCACCGAATGATTTTCTGTTTAAGGGTATGATATTATTGGATAAATATACTGTAATACATATTTAATAACATATTTGTGTTTTTTCTAAGGCCCTGAACAAGTGCCACTGATTGAAGACTTGGAGCGGATCTTCATGAGGTCGTGGAGAGAGTCTCACCTCAGTGAGATCAGACAGTACCAGCAGCCTCAGGCAGCTACCCCGGGCAGACACTACATCATAGAGGTGAGACCTGGATGTCTGACTGAATACAGTGTCTCTCACTGGTGTCTGTCAGTTTGTCTCCAGCCATGACTTCATGGACTTCACTGTAAACTTCCTCCTTGTGGTTCTGGTGTGTAGACATCATCCAGTCTACCTGGGCTGCCCCAGAACCTCTACCTACCTAACTTGAGCCAGCAGCCTCTCACCCCCAGCCAGCTCCCCTGGCTGGCTCAGCTGGCTGCATCGTCCTGTGGAGAGGCGGTGGTGGTGCTGGGGGAGCAGGTCAGGTCATTGGCTCAAGGCCTGCAGCAAACCTTAGACCAGCTGATGGAAGGACAACTGCAAAACACCAAGTATGTGGTCATCATTGTGGTACTGGGACAGGAGACCCAGTCTTGCGTTGTGGTCACAGGTGAGGACCGTGGGGACCAGTGTCCATGTGGGGGTGTTGTCAACACTGTGGTTCCATGGTGCTCTGTTTTTCTGCAGGTAAACGTCAGTGTCGTGCCTTGGCAGAGAGCATGCTCTCACCCAGTGAGAGCCTGAGAGAAGTCAACCAACAGCTCACCACTGGAGGCGCCCAAGAGCTCATCCACCACTGCAACTCATTGGGCCAAGGTGTGAAGGTCACCTGCTGTCTGTGAGCTCCTCCACGTACAGTCACATGTCCAAAGTTCTAATCCATGACCTCCTTTGTAGATGGCCATATGGACTCCATACTGGACAGTGCCACAGTAGACGGCGGTGAAACTTCACCTCAGCTAACAGGTCAGGAACCTTCTGAGGACAGGGGTCTGAAGAGCACATCTAATAGTCCTAAGGAAAGAGCTCCAAGTCCAAAAGACACGTGTTCAGGTAAGACACAGAAAGTCTGACCGGTGACATCATCACTATCCTGAGTGGACCAGCGCTCAGTTCACATCATAGTACTTCCACAATATGGATTCATTTATAATCACTGCCACAGTTTGACCACTGAACGCCACATAAGCTTCCTTTAAAAAAAATTAGAACAAAATACTTAGAAATCCCAACTGCAGTACTGTATCATCACCACTTAAGTCATGTGGTGCTGTTGAGACTGCTGAGCCACAGAGACACGGAGTGAAGGCTCCCCTAGTGGCTGAACGACACAAATATCAGAAGGAGGGGTGCCAATTTGATCTTCACTGTCACTATCAACCAGCCCCTAGTGGACAATACAGCTCCCTGCAGCTGCTTTATTATCTATTTACGTCTAAACCTGATTTACTGACTAACTCTTTAGTTCACAACAACTGACAAATGTCTTAATTTCCAAAACAAAACAATGTGAACATTCACTAAAATAACAAATATAATTTAAGCAGGTACTGTATGAAGTTTACCATTAAATGCCCCTGTAAATGGGTTATGATTATGTTATGTTGAATGTTATGTTATGATTAAATTATGTTAAAGTAGAGAAAGCCCATGTCATGGCGAGTCTGGTCGTTGGTTAAATGAATGATTGACTGAGGTAAATGTCTTTTTTCTGGTGTTGTAGAATATTCCGTGGAGTGGTGTGAGGTCCGTCCGATCCAGCTGGCAGTGGCCAGAAAGCTGCTCTCTCATGTTTGTGCTATAGCAGACTCCAGCACCCAGAACCTGGACCTGGGCTCTTTTGACAGAGTCAGCTTCCTCATCCTGGTCCCGCCCTCAGAGGTCACATTTCAGCAGACCCTCCTCCACCTCAGGAGCTCTGGTGAGTGACACATCACAGATCACAGAGTGCTGGTCCATAACCAAATGAGTTTGGTTGTTGATCTGTGTGTGCCCTCCCCTCCAACTCTCCCTCCCTCCCTCCCCCTGTCTCTCTTGCACAAATCTCAGGTGTCCTTCAGGACTTCGGGGGTCTTGACCAGAAGTGCAGGTCTCCACAGAAGGCAGAGCATTATGTGGTGAAGGTGGACCAGGCTGCACAGGTCAGAATTGACAGCTTCATTCAGGAAGCTCAGAGCAACACCTACACCCTGTACATCTTAGTCCACGACCACGCCCACTGGGACATCAGAAGGTACTGTTTGAACTCAGTGCCAAACTGCGATTCATCTGCTGTTGGTTCTGTGTTGACTCAGTCTGCTCTCTCACAGTGCGTCTTACAGCAGCTCAGACCCAGGCCTCGGTCTGGTGGACCAGCTGTTGAACTCCCGGCAGGTCACAGATGCTCAGAACATCCTGATCCTCCACGTCACCTCCTTCCCCTTCGCTCTTCAGACACAGCACACTCGAATCAGCCCCTACAACGAGATCCACTGGCCCTCCGCCTTCAGCAATGTAAGACTAGAGTCTCCAAAGGTCCAGATCGTCTGGCACTGATGCAACTCATGTAATGCGCCCCCTGTGTTTGGCTACCTGCAGGATGTGGACCTGTACCACGAGAAAACTCGGTACTTTGGTGTGTCGGAGCTGTTGGAGTCCACACGGTCAGGAAGCAGCCTACCTCTGATGCGACATGACTCCTCCTTTGAGAGCATGACCTCTGCCCTGGAAGAGAGGTAGCTCAGATAAATAACATATACAACAATAGGGGGCGTTGTTATTGAAGAACTGACGATTATCTGGTCATCATGTCAGACACAATAACCAGGGGTTTCATCCTTTCTATTCTATCATATAGTATTTTTTTTCAACACCTGTTGAACAGAAACATCCACTGCCCATCCACTCTAGCTGCCCAGTCATTTTTGCTTCTTAGGGGACTTTATGTTATAAACTATTAGACCTCATTGTTCTCCAACACAGAAGAACCTTCAGACCATTGAGACGGTGATAATTAGCTCCTGTTAGCTCTGATTAGCTTGTATGCTAACAACTGCTAAGACGTTTTTACCTCTGTGTTATGCATGAGGTCATGATAGTGTATATCCTATAATACTCTTTATGGTCCAAAGGTTCCCTAAGCTGCACAGCGCTGTGATCCGAACCACAGTCTTGATCCAGCACTACTGCGTGGCGCTGATGGCTGCGTCCTGCAGAATCGGAAGCTGCCACAATCTGCACAAACACACCTCAGTGGAGACCCTGGAGATCGTTCAGTCTCTGATCACTGCCCCCCAGCAATGTCCCGCGGGCCATGGTCACATGGTGCTCCTGCGGATCCCCTCCTTGGCTCTGGCTGCCTGGGCCCATCGGAAACTGTCCCGTGTGAGGAGACAGCTCGGTCTGGAGGAGAGTTTTGAGATCATCCTTGGGAACCCAAACAAAGCCCTGAGTATCGGGCAGAGCTTCATTAAACAAATCAAGGTAAAGTTTACTTCACTTTTCCAGACAGATGACTTGGTCTGAATGTCAGAGTATCTGATCAGTTACAACAAACTTGGGTTTTAAATCTGGACTCATGTCAAAACTAGTAATCCTCGGGTCATTACCTACAAACAATTTTAATAAAATTCTTCTCAACTCCATAAAAAGGTCATAAAAACGTTTCATTAAAAATTAGTGACCTGTAAAATAGACTGCTGATAATAACATTCCAGGCTATTTGACTTGTAAAGGTCACATTTTATTAAACACTTTTAGTATGAAAATTAAATATTAATAAAGGGTAATTTCCCTTTAAAACAGAAATGCAAAAAAGGGAAAAAGTAATGAGTGAGTTTAATATTCTAATTATATTATATTTTATATTTATAAAGTATAAGTAGAAAAAAGTGTTTAGTTATTTTTATATTTCATTGTATTTTAAGATGGCTTTTGGTTGAAAAGAAACAATTAAATGTCTTTTCTTCGTCCATGTGTGTGTTGTGCAGATGTGGCTGCAGATCCAGGATTCTGACTGGGTTCCTCATACCTACCTGGAGCTGGAGGCTCTTCCATGTATCCTGATCCTGTCTGGAGCAGAACCTCTGGGAGAGTCACTTCCCAGGTAGATGTTCTGACTCCATATCATTTTGTCTGTTTGAACCCTCCTCCACTGACTTCTCATCAGGCTGAGACACAGTGGGAATACTGACTCATGAACGGCTTTTATCCCTAGGTCTTTGAAGTACTGTGACCTCCGGGTGATAAGCTGCTCTTACCTGCAGAGAACCACCCTGGAGCAGGAGCTGGGCCTGGCTGCCTACCTGGTGAGGCATGAGTCCCGATTGCCTCATAACCCTGGTCCAGGGAGTGACCTTCTGGAGAGTGATGCTGAAAAACTCAGCAGCACTGACAACGAGGAGGAGGAGGGGCAAGAGAACGGTGAGATGAGACCTGATGGTTCCACCTTCAGAGAGTACTTAGGTCATGTGACCTGTTTATATGACACCTTCACATTGTTCTGTGGTATCTTCTTATTTACAGACGACTCCCCTCTGTCCAGTCAACAGCTCCAGGTGTGTCCAGAGGGTGGTGCTGTTGAGACTATATCTGTTCAAAACATCACTTCCCCCAAGGTCCAGAGAGGGCATGCTGAACTTGTTCAGACTCCTCCCATTCTCTACACTCAGCCTCCAGCACAGAACCAGACCCATCCTCAAGTACCAAGTCATTCCCAAACCCAGCCCGTCTCAAAGCTTCAGTCACAGTCCCAGACTCAAACTCAGCCCACACCTCAGGTCTCTTCCCAAACATTTATCCCAAGTTCAGCCCAGAACACAAACAGCCAACCTGAAACAGGGCAATCTCACCGGCAACCCTCCAAGTCAGCCTCCTCTGGCTCCCTGTCCCCGCGCTCTTGCTCTCCTCACCCAAACTGCTCATGGGTGCGAGGCGTAAGCCGTCCGCCCTCAGTGCTCCTGCCTCGTGCTTTGTATGACATCATAACGGCCAGTGACAGCAGCGGTCTTCCCCAGTGTACCTCATTCCTGCCACATATGTCCGTGGCCTGGGCCAGCAGCTTCAGGTAAAGGTCACACACACACCTTCTTCTTCAGTCAATCTGTAGTGTGACTGTTCTTCACTGTGACAGTCTGTAGTGTGACTGTTCTTCCTGTGACGGTCTGTATTGTGACTGTTCTTCCTGTGTCCGGTCTGTCTGTGACAGTCTGTAGTGTGACTGTTCTTCCTGTGACGGTCTGTGGTGTGACTGTTCTTCCTGTGTCCAGGCCTCTGCTGACTAAGATGATGACGTGTACAGAACAGTCTCTTTACTACCGTCAGTGGAGCGTCCCTCGCTCCTTCCACATGGACAGTAACAATCTGACTGGAGGGAGGAGTGACAACTTTCACCCCCGCAGGCTGCTCCTCAGTGGCCCCCCACAGGTGATGATGTGACTTCCTACCCCTGGATTATCTTCAGTTTCTTCTTCTGTTCATTCATGTAATTCGTGTCTGTGGTCAGGTGGGAAAGACCGGTGCCTACCTGCACTTCCTGGGTATTTTGTCTCGGATGCTGATCCGGCTGATGGAGGTGGACATCTACGATGAAGAGGACATCAACTGGAGTCGGTGTTATTCACACTTCACTCCTGAACATGTGAGGATTAATCAAATATAATGCTTTAAACCTGGATCTGTTTCTTTGTTCAGGTGAACAGTCGGAGGCTGTTCAGTATCAACTATCAAATGCACCCTGGCCCAGTCCAGACATCATGAGGACCATGCCCTACGACTACACGGTCCATGACCCCAAGTATGATGATATCAGTGCGGTGTACTGTCCTGGTTATAGACCTGATTCTGAAGGTGAGAAGAGGTCCATTCAACTACAAGTACCAGTGAGTTCAGATCTGATCAGCTGATCAGGAAGGTCTCACAAAATCAAGTGTCTGTTTAGTTTAAGCAATGGAGATCTTTTTTTTACTGCTGCCACTTATGAAATCTAACGTCGGCCACAAGGTGGAGCTGTGGTCACAGCAACAGTATCACTGGGTTCCATGGTACTTCAGACTCAAACACACAGACTAGTAATTAGGTGAAGTGTTCACCCGATCCCATGACCCTGAGACAGGTCAGGCAGTTTAATCAGACACGTTCTCTCCCATGTTCAAGGAAGTGCTGTGCGTCAGGAGGATGTTTACCTACGCAGACGGACCACCAGGATCAAACTGTCCAAATATGCAGCCCACAACACCTACCATCACTGTGAACAGTGCCATCAGTACCTGGGCTTCAACCCCAGATACCAGGTGAGCTCAGCACAGCCGTGTGAACAGGAGAGTCACGTGAGCAGCCTTTTAACCAGCTTCCCTCTCTGCTCCTCCCCCAGATGTACTCAGAGTCCAGTCTGCACCCTTTCACCTTCACTCACCTGCTGCTGGGGGAGGAGATCCAACTTTACTTCATTATCCCCAAGTCCAAAGAGCACTACTTCAGCTTCAGCCAATCAGGTGGCCAGCTGGAAGGCATGAGGCTGCCGCTCAGCTCTGACTGGGTAAGGTGTTAATTCTCACACAATAACAACTGTACTGAGTGTGATGCAGATCAGGAGGCAACAGAGGCAACAATAGGATATAAACTGTGATCATAGTAATGACACAATGCTGTTCCATCACGTACCAACACTGGAACAGAGGGATCTACATTTGGAATCACTAGAGGAGAAAGAAAAGAATAAGAAAATGAACCAACACCAGGAATATTTGACTGGGAATTGGTGATAAAAAAATCAATACACTGATGGAGGATATTAATACTGTATCAGAAAAGGAAATACTGCAATATTTTAGTGTATGGATATTTTTAATGACCAGCAGTGAAACAAATGAAAAACTCTGGTCACAGTTGTTTCTTGTCTTCACGGCTCAGAGTCCAGACTGTATCAAGAGTCCAATCTTCACTCCAACCACCGGACGCCATGAGCACGGTCTGTTCAACCTGTACCACGCCATGGACGGAGCGTCACACCTGCACATCCTGGTGGTGAAGGAGTATGAAATGGCTGTGTACAAGAAGTACTGGCCCAACCATGTCATGCTGGTGCTGCCCACTGTGTTCAACGCAGCCGGAATAGGTCAGTTCACAGGTACTGGTCCGACCCACAGACCCCACAGGCAGCCCACAGTTTTAATAGGGTTTCTCTGCAGGTGCAGCCCACTTCCTGATTAAAGAACTTTCTTATCACAACCTGGAGCTGGAGCGGAGTCGGCGTCTGGAGGGAGGGGGTCCAGTGGGGGAGGTCTGGCCCTTCATCATTCTGACTGATGATTCCTGTGTGATGTTTAATGCAGTCGACCTTGACACGCACAAGTACGTCCAACTTTGGAGTCACATGTTTTCATTTCATGTCACTGTCCAACATCACGTCTGTCCTGACCAGTACAGACTACAGGCTCCGTACCACTGAGCAGCCCTCACACCAGTGTTTAATCAACATTACAAAATGTAACTGATGCACAGAGGTGACTGAAACCAGATGTGTTTTATTTTATATTATTTTATCCACACATTTTATATTATTTTATTATATATTATTATATTATATTTAAATTAAATAAATAAATAAAATATCTGTCTAACATGTGGTTCAACATGAGGGAGTATCTGTCTAAATCTGGGGAACATTTGTTTCACAGACCACAGTGAGCCAGGCTCTTATTTTGAAAGTCTAGTCAACTGTTAACCACTAGGGGGCTAAAAAGGTAGCAATGTATCTCAATTTCAAAACAAGAATCCACATTTTTGAAACCAAAAACAAAAGATAAGATAAAAAAAACAGAACACCGTATTACTAGTATTAGTATATTAGTATATATGTTTTAGAACAAATTACACAATGACAAGTAGTTCACTTTCCTTCACTTTCAAATAAGAATAGACTGAAGTACTAATTTGACCTGGACTATAACCATCTCTCTGTTGTTGTTGTTGTTGTTGCAGTGGCCCATCAGAACACGCCGTGTCACTGAAGCAGGTTCTACAGCACCTGGAAGCCTGTCCTGATCTGGTCCAGTTTGGTCTGTGTGGGATCAGGAAGTGGAGCAGCAGTGGAGCCAAGGGTCAGAGGGGTCAGTGTTTTTAAATATATATATAATATATATATTACTGCAGTGTGGACATGTTTGTAGTACTGCAGTACTTTTGTTTCAGTTTGGAGTTGTGATACAAGTGTGGAACTGACTTTGTTTCAGCAGAGAACAAACAGTGGGTTCCCTTCTCCAGAGGTCACCTTCACGACTTCCTGCTTCTTAACGTGGACCGCAGTCAGAACATCCAGTACGACCAGAACCGGTTCACCTGTCATGACGTGGACTTCAGCCTGAGGCTGCACAGCGCTGGTCTGCTGGTCTGCAGGTTCAACAACTTCAGTGTCATGAAGAAGCAGATCGCCATAGGAGGATACAGGACGTTTATCATCAAGACCAAGGTGAGAGGCTGTCCACAGTGACCCAGAGTTTAGGGGACACTTCAGGCAGATCTTCATGTGATTCAGTTCATGTTGATCTGGTCCAAATGGTAGCTTTAGCCATGTGCTACAGTGATGAGGGTCTTCTGCCGCCCCCACCCCCCATCTTCATCCTAATGTTGAGTGTTTTCTTCAGGTGACTGATGTGCCCACGTCAGTGGGGCCCAGCCAGTACGTCTGTGCCCCAGACAGTAAGCACCTGTTCTTGGCCTCACCTGCTCAGCTGCTCCTGGAGAAATACCTCCAACACACCAGCCACAAACTGTTTCCCTTCAGCTGCAGAAACTACATACGACCAGTGCTGTCTGTGGACTGTTACCTCAACCTGGGACCTGAGGTACACACACACACGCTGGCACACTTGATATATTTTGAAAATTACCAAAAACATATGTTTCTTTTATGTTCAAATATATGAAAATGATCTTTAGAGTGCATTAAAGGGAATCCTACATAATAATTTCCTGTATCCCATCACTGAACTCAGATCAGTTCTCCTCTCTTTAACTTTAGACACAAGTTTTAAGAACGCTGACGTCTGGAACAATGAAGTAAAAACACCTCTGACCCAGAGGGAAACACTTCATATATGTGTCCATGGCTGCTACAGTAACTTAACCCTCAGTTTGTTCTTCTTCTTCTGTGTCCAGGTGACGGTGTGTTTTGTCAGTTCCAGACCTCACTCTGTCAACATCAGTACCACAGGGATGCTGTTCAGTGGTCTGCTCCTCTGTTTCACCGACTCCTTTGTGACGGCAAACTTTCTGAAGAAGTTCACCTTCCTCAAAGGTACAAGGATGTACTGTAGCTCCATATATATATGTCTATCTATCTATCTGTCTATATATATATATATATACAGTATGTGCAGTACATATATACAGTACATATATGCAGAACATATATACAGTACACATACAGTATATACGTATATGCAGTACATATACTGTATACAGCACATATATACAGTACATATAAACACACACAAAAGCCACAGTGTTTCAAACATGTGATTCCTGGAAAAAAAAACCCAGTCCTCAGGACACCTGGTCCGGTGTTTGACCAGAGGACCAGGTGACAGTGAACACAGTCCTTTGTTGTCAGCACAGACCATATCTGTTCAAGTCTCCGTGTGGTGGTCTGTGTCTCTGCAGGTGCCACCCTGTGTGTGATCAGTGCAGACCGTAGCTCACTCAGACAGACGGTCAGCAGGCTGGAGCTGGAGGAGGAGTGGAGGTTCAGGCTGAGTGACGAGTTCCAGACGGCCAACGCCAAGGAGGACCGACCTCTCTTCTTCTTGACAGGGAAACACATATGAGAGTTGGCATATTGACCAGGTTTTCAAAGACGGTCCTGGAAAATGCAGGGTATTAAAAGTACTTTAGGCTAAGAGTAGACACTGGTGGACACACACACACAGACGTTATAAAATAAATCTTAGTCATGAGGTCTGGAAGACATCTTTGAAGTACTTGATGTCCAGTATCTTTGAGGAAACTTCCAGGAGTTCCCACAGCTGATGGTGGAAACTTTAAATAAAATCATTGTTTGTTTGTTTTTTACCGAGTTAAAAGAACTGATCTGACTTTTGTCAGAGGTCTGTCTGTGTATAATGCTACCATTAAGTTTGCATACATTATTTTCAAGGGAAATTATTTGTAAATGGTTGTTTTATACTGTGTATTTTCTGAAACACTGTTATATATCAAAGTACTTATTTTACTGATGACCTTTGAACCACAATGGTTTTATTGCTGTGTCGACAGAGTGTACACTTTTTTTACATGGAAATGTTCAAATGTACAGAGACCGTGGAGTCATGTCACTTTGACCTCTGGCGTTTGCTGTGACCTTTCCGGGACACGGTAGAAAAGACTGTCGAGGACTGATCCGTTAGTTGTCCTCAGTCGCGTGTGCATTTTCTACTGTAGTTAATTGTTTCTGAGACTGTTTAAAAATGCTGCAGATTTTCGAATAATCCTGAACCAAACATGTTAAAAAGTTGTTTTGTTTTTGTTATTTAATGTGTTGAGGCGCCTCGTTTTACGGCTCTTTTATGACATCGGGTAGTTACTTAGATTACTACGTTTACGATAAATCCAACAGCCATGTTACGTGACATCAAAAAAAAAAAAAAACAGGTCAGATGGACGTGTGTCTAAAGGCGGGTTTATTTGAAAAGAAAATGAATGTCTTTAAAAAAAAAAACAACTTCGTCCACTTGCTCTCGATGTGACTATTTTTGGACAACATTAAACGTTAGCTTGTTAGCCAGCTGGTTAGATCCATGTCCCCTAAAACATCACAGTCTTCATTAACGCTGCTGCATCACAATAACATAGGCAAACAATGCAACAAACAGGAAGACCTTTTTTTTACCCTCAGGCTGCTTCTCTGGTCAACACCCAGTAAACTATACGTTTTAGTGAATGCACGTCTAATCTGGTGTTTTTTTAAACCTAACAGAGTACTCCCAGAGGAACTACATACTTGGTGTCTGCAGGAGGCAGCCTGTCGCAACAGATCTGTCGTTAACACAAGAATTTACCAAAAAATATGCGATCAATAAAGTTAGAATATCTTCAAATAATTATTAATTATTATTAATTATCATGGGAGTATTCCACATGTACCATGGTACCACATGTTGTAGTAGAACGTGTTGAAGTATCCTGTCTGAATCACAGGCGTCCATGTTAAACAGTCATTATTTATTGACTGCCTGAAAAACACACTTATCACATGTTGGACTGAGTGCAGAGCGTCTGACACAGGAGGTGGCGCTACATTTGTGACGTGACTCTTGTAGCCCTCTGATTGGCTGCCTGGGACCATCCCCCTGTTTCTGTGGTGGTGAAACACCAGCATTCCTGGACTGTGAGAGCCTGGCTGGGGGGAGGGAGGGGGAGTGGTGTCCTTAACCCAGTCACAATGAACTGAGTTCACATGTCTGACATGAGGTGACCCCTCCTCCCCCCATAGAGTTAGGACAGAACCCCTGACAGACCAGTCCACAGTCACCAGAGTTTCACAGAGAGAATACTACACTGTACACACACGATCAGCAGCATGCATGAACATGTACTCAGAGTAGTACTAGAAACTCAAGACTCTTTATATAAGCCCCTCCACACACTCTTCCCTTTCTCTTTCTTTTTCCTCCTCCTCCTCCTGATTTTCTTGGCCGCCCGTTGAACCAGTGTGTTCTTAGAAAATGTCACACATGGTTTCTTTTCCTGGTATGTGTGTGTGTGTGAGATGCATTACACTCAGGGACGTTTGAACTTCAGTTAAACTGTAAATTCCAAATAGCTCCCATTTTTGCAGTTTTGTGTCTTGATTTGACTGATGCTTTCAGGTGACACAGTTCTGGGTCAATAGGGTTGTAGTTCTGCACCGATGAGGCCAGGCATGTGTGTACATGTACACACACATGTACACACGTGCCCGGCATCATCAGTGAAATATCTTTTTTGTTGCAGAACAGAACGCAGAACTTTCCAGGTTCCATGAATAAAGTAATGCCACATGGTGTTGTCATGACAACAGAACCAGGTTAGTTAATGACATTACAACTAATTACAACATTTTTCTCATCAACTCAACTATTTACTCTTACAGAAATAAACTCTGGTGTTATAACTTCATTTTCATAAACCTGTAACTCTTTCCTGTAATACTACAATGTACTTCCCATTAATGTACTACTGTATTCTCATGAACTAATGGACTGTTTCAAAATATTACAATCAAATACTTCCATAATATTCATACATGACTAACCACCCTGGTACTATTGTAAACATAGTACTTTTTCCTGTAATATCAAATGTAAAACACTTTATTCTTGTATGTGTTCTTGTTGTGACCCTAGTACTACTTCATTCAAAGGTCAGTCGAGTGGTAAACACAGCCATGTGATTCTATCATGACAGAATAACAAACTCACGTTTTTTTACGTGAGTAAAATAATTAGGGAATCGTTTTTGACGTCAGCGCTGGCTCAACAAATCAGACGGACTTGTGGGAGGAATCGTTTCTGGGAGGTTGAAATAGTGAGGCAGCCGCTAAGGAGGAGGAACTGTGGGAGGAAACGAGAGGAGGCCGTGTGAAAGGACAACGTGATGTGAGGAGGACCACGGAGGACAACAGAAGAACGAGGAGAGGAAAGAGGAGCAGAAACAGACCTGCTGCCGTGGAGAGGGGGCAACAGAGCGGGTAAATACAACTGGAAATAGACCAGGGTGTGAAAGTCATTCTGCTGCTGTTTACTCTCACTGCACATGCGCAGTTCACCAGTCTGACGAGGACGCGTCTTGTTTACATTCGATTACATGTTTGGCACGTGACAAATGTCAGAATTGGTGTTTTATTATTGTTGTTGTTAGTTCAGACGCGTCTTTGACGTGTTAGCTTAGCTGCTTCATTAACACGATCCCCTCAAGGTGAGGGGGGACACCTGCTGTGTAGACTAGTGGTTGTTGTTGACACAGCCTATCACCGGAAGTCCATTCAAAGACTATCAGTGACCTAATGAGGTGTCTCGTGATTGGTCATTACGTAATAGACGAAGGAGCGGCGGCATTGGCCACTGAACAAAAGTATCCTGGGAAGAGGGGTCAAGGCGTGTGTTTGAATTTTCTTTTCGCGGAAGGAGGGAGGGTTAGAGTAACAACAAAAATGAGGAGGGGGGGGGGGGGCGATCTGAGATAAAAATGACGGGGCCTCCCAGTCCAGCCCTGCTGTTCTTAATACACCTGTTGTTGTTGTTGTTGTTGTTGTTGTTGTTGTTGTTGTAGTTGGAGGACTTCTTGTTGATGTGTGTGTTTTCTTCCTCACTTTCTGTTCTCTCAGTCTTCCTCCAGTGACAGATCATGAACTACGTGGGTCAGTTGGCGGGCCAGGTGTTCGTGCAGGTCAAGGAGCTGTACAGAGGACTCAACCCGGCAACTCTGTCAGGATGTATAGACGTCATCGTGGTCTGTCAGCCCGATGGATCCCTGCAGTGCTCGCCCTTCCATGTCCGCTTCGGCAAGATGGGTGTTCTACGCTCCCGTGAAAAAGTGGTGAGATTCTGACGGTCTCAGACTCCTGTGTTCTACTGGACACTGGGTCAGACTTGAGTAGAACCTTTGTTTACTAATTGGCTGTTGTTCTGACATGACAGTAGACGTATTGATGTGGTTGTTATTGACCAGTGTAGTTACAGCCACAGCAGACAGTCGTCTCTTCATCTGTTCTGTAGGGTTTTGTTACTTGAAATAAAACAGAAACGTCTTTCCTGTTCCGTCCTGCAGGTGGACATAGAGATCAATGGGACACCAGTGAGTCTGCAGATGAAGCTGGGGGAGAATGGAGAGGCTTTCTTTGTGGAGGAGACAGAGAACACACTGGTGGGTCAAGATTAACCAGGCCCTCAGTGTCGGTCAGCAAACAACACCCGGAGTCAGAGCCAGTTTTACTGCTCACACTGACAACTGACTCACTGATTAGTCACTCACATCACCTTAACTAACTCAAATGTAAAACCGCTTCACACTCGTTTCTCCCTGGAACAGGAAGTGGTTCCATCCTACTTGGCAACATCCCCCATCATGTCAGTGGGGGAGGAGTTGATGAAGTCCCAGCTGAGCAGGCGTAGCTCTCGTCACCATGGTAACCACATACAGGAGAAGACGGAGTGTAAAAAAATGTGTTTTATCTTCTTACGTCACTGACTTTTCTCACGTCACGTAGAAGCCACGCCCTGTGGTTCACTTCCTGTCCAGAACCTGGGACCACAGCAAAGTGATGGCACGATGACCAAGAAAAGGAGGAAGAGGAGGAGGAAGGCAAGACCAGAGGGAGGTGCAGGGGCTGGAAGAAGAGAGGGGGGTGAGGAGGAGGAGGAGGAGTTCTCAGAGGACACAGACATGTTCACCATGGACCTGAGCTCAGACGAGGACGAGGAGGCCGATGGTAGCAGGTGTGTGTTTGTTGGAAGACATGAAAAAGTCTCTCAAACTGTCTAATGGACTTTTGTTTACTATCACAACCAGGTACAGTGGTCAGGACCACGAAGGCATCATCACCAGTCACCACAGCACTGGTTGGAGGTACTGTACACACACACACACACACACACACACACACACACACACAGTCTATCTTTGGTTATCACTATGGCAACGACCAATCACAACAAGGATCAGTCACTCTGTTTTTCCTTCTGTCTCCATTTGTCTGTGTCTGTAGTAGAGAGGCAGGGGACACTCTGTCCCTCCGCCCCCCCTGTGGTCTGTCCATCTCCTGTCCTCCACAGACGTCTCACATCTCAGCTCTCCTCAGGTACCACCTGCACTGGTACCGATTCTGATGATTCTGGCAGGAAGGAGTGGACTGTTGTGGTTTGATCTGTGACTGTAATTGGGGGACGAGGGGGGGAGGGTAGAGACTGGACTCTGACGTCTCTGTGTGTCTTCTGCAGCCGTCCTGATGATTCTCTGTCCTCCACTCCGAAGAGTGACTCAGAGCTGAACAGTCAGAATAAAGACAATCCTGAAATGTTGTGGACGTGGGGGGAGCTGCCACAGGCTGCCCAGGTGACTCACACACACACACACACACACACACACACACACACACCTGAAGTCCTGAAACAGCTTTACCGTAATTTCCAGAACAGATTTGTTTTATATGTGAGACACATTAACAACAGGTGAATAATTAACTGGATTCTGACAAGTTAAAAATAAATAAGTGAAAAGAAAAGTCGACACCAAGTTTTATAAAAAAACCTCTCTTCTTTCCAGCCGGACTTCCTGACGTCCTGTAAGAACCCCGACCCGTCCACATCTGTCTCTACATCAGACTCCACTTACTTCAGAGCTGGCTATGATGCTGGACCTCCGTCCCTCACCCACTGTCCCCCCCAGGCCAGTGAGAAAACTGAATGTAAGACTAAAGATGGGGGAGGAGACAGAGGGAGGTCTGAGAGAGAGACAGGTATCAGGAGTGAACACACTGTCTCCACCTACTGACTCTTCTCTGTAATGGCGACTCATTGTTTTAGTTCTTGTATGAACAGTTCAGAGGTCACCAGTGGAAAACCTGGACTGGTCCTGTGCTGAAGTGGGGGGTCCGACGGTCTGCTCCACATCCCCCAGGGTTCTCCGTGATCATCTGGAGGAAGGTGGGAGTAGACAAAGTCCACCCAGAAGAACCGACTCCCCATCAAAGAGCAGAGGTGGAGTGGTACCATAGGACACTTCAGTACCAGTACCAGTTTATTTGTGGACTAATTTTGGTGATGTCTGTTCAGAGAAGAGACGGCAGCTGGTGGGGGCTGATGGTGTTTACCTGGAGGACATCACTGAGCTGGCGCCTGAAGTCGCAGCTCTGTACTTCCCCAAAAGGTACTGCCTCACACAGTACACACAGTACACATAGTACACAAGTTTTAGGCAGGCACTGAACCAGGAATCATCAGTGAAGAAGTTGATGTGAGAAGAACAGACCTGGTCCAGGAGGGTTCAGTTCTCAGGTCAACTTGTTTCTCTTTTTCAGTGGGGGGGGCAGTGGGTCAGTGAGAGGAGACCCTGACCCTGACCCAGAGCTCAGTAGAGGTCAGTGTCCACAGTCAGGGATCAGCAGTGCTGTGGACAGTGGTGTGGACAGTCTGTCTGATTCGTTAGGAGAGCTCCCCCATGTGGCCATTTCTCTGTGTGGAGGTCTGGGGGACAACAGGGAGATCATCAGGGGTGAGTCATCACGGCACCTGACAACTGCCACATTTGAATGTTTGGTCACGTGTGTGTGTGTGTGTGTGTGTGTGTGTGTGTGTGTGTGTGTACTGACAGAACATTTCTGGGAGAGAGCAGTTTCCTACAAACAGTTCTCTGAAGATCCTTCCATCCTTGAAGACCCAAACCTGGTGGTGAAGATAGGAAACAAGTGAGTACTTACGTATGGAAGTACATGTACACAGCCTCTGGTAGTCACAGTACTACAGTTACTACTTGTTGGTTCCAGGTCCTCCTTATATGTCTTTATATGTCCCCGTCTGGTGTAGATACTACAACTGGAGCACGGCCGCTCCAGTCATGTTGGCCCTGCAGGTCTACCAGAAGCCCCTCCCCCAGGTGAGACCTCTGCACGCAGACAAAGGGGGGACGAGGGGGAGGAAGTGGTGAGGAGAGGGGTTGAAAAATACTGTGGTATACTGCACAGGAATCATCAGCAGTGTGTACAAGTAAAAAGTATTTATCAAATATTTGATTCAGTATCGGTTTTCTTTTTAGCCATAATATTTATTCCAATCTGCATTTTCTAGATGGTTCTACAGACCTGGAGTTCCACAGTTCTGCAGTCTGTAGTCAGTCTATAGTCAGTCTATAAAACCAAGTATTACTCTGTGGTATCACCAGTGTAGTATTACTCTGAGTATTACTTTGTTACAACACTTGAATCCTGTGGTGGAGGTAGCTTCATTAGATTATCTTAGTGTATGTTTGTGACCTTTGACCTATTGGTTACCAATGGTGTATTCATCTGATACACTGTACAGTGTATAAAGGTCATAGGCCATCAGTCTGAACAGGTGAATGTTTGTTTGAGCCTAACTACCTTTGCCCTAACCTTTGACCCCTGGTTTCTTCTTTATTCTGTTTCCACATCTGTCTTCATCAAGTGTCACTGTTTCAGTTCCTTCTTCTCTGTTTTCACCTTCTTCACTGACTGTTTCCCTGCTGTGTTTGGGTCCAGCTGCACACAGGCTGTAGTACTCTCATACTCACACCAGTACTCTCATACACGGACGAGTACTCTCATACACCGACATACTCTTCCTGTCAGTTGTGACCTCTTGACCCTGCATGTCCCGCCTCCTTGCTTTGATTTGATGTTCTAGACCAGGCGTGGTCAAACTGTTTCACTCGCAAGCCACAATGGATCCTAAAATTTGATGGGGCGGGTCCAGAGCAGATAGATAGAAAGTCCTTATGAACTAAAACAAATGACATGTAAAAGTCATAAAGGCTAAAATGCTAAAAAGTCTTTTCTACCCCATCTATTGGAGAAATACAGGCATTGCAGGGAAAAGAGAAATTAATTTACAAAATCTGGACAAATTTGACGGATTAAGGAGCTGGATTAAGAGGCCAAAGGGGCCCACGGGCCGCCTCCGGCAAGATTCGAGATTACAGGTCAAAGGTCGTAGTTCAGACCTCCTCAGCTAGATCTTCAGGCTCATTTCTCCTCCTCCTTTTTTTCATCCATTCATTTTCTTGAACGTTTCCTTTCTTCCTGTCAGTTTTCAGTTGTGTTCATGTTTATCTCTAGGCTTCTGTGGAGACCATCATGAAGGAGAAGATGCCAAAGAAAGGAGGACGCTGGTGGTTCTCCTGGAGGAGCAGGACTACATCTGTGCGTACAGGCGTTACTGTTGTTAAATATGTGGAGTCAGAGGAGAGAGAGGGGGGAGAGAGGGTTTAAAACAGTGAGCTGTCTGCTCCTCAGGAGTCCGTGTCAGAGGGAGGAGTTGAAGGAGAAGGGAGTTCCCTCGCCGTGGCCTCAGTCAACAGGTGAGCTTTTCAGTGAGTTCATCAGTTCTGGTTCCTTCAGCAGTTCTCCTCCTGGTTCAGTTGTGACATTGTCTTTTTTACAGGATGAAGGACGAGTCGTCGTCCAGTGATGAGGACCTCAGGCCCTCCAGTCAAAGGTCAGGCTGTGGCCAATCAGAGCTCCTCGCAGGTTCCACCAGCACGTGCTACAAGAAGACTCTGAGGCTGACGTCCCAGCAGCTGGTACGTCTTCCTAGAAGGTCCTGGTCCACTGGACCAGCTGCTCTTCTTTACTGCTTTACCTTGTATGAAATAATACGTTTGTAGGGTTGCCAGTTTGAATCCCATTTGTGTTGAACACTGACAGTCCAGCCTGCAGCTGAAGGAGGGTCCAAACGATGTGGTTTTCAGTGTCACCACTCAGTACCAGGGAACCTGTCGCTGCCATGGTACGATTTACCTTTGGAACTGGGCCGACAAGATCATCATCTCCGACATAGATGGAACCATCACCAGGTGACACAGACGACTACAGACTACCACACTGACTAGAGTTTCTACATGTCGGCCATGTTGTCTTTCTGACCTGCAGGTCTGACACTCTGGGTCACATCCTGCCCACTCTGGGTAAAGACTGGACCCACCAGGGCATCACTCGGCTCTACAACAGAGTCAGCCAGTGAGTCACCACAGTCTCTGTATTCACACAGCTACAACTAACTGAGCCCAGGTTCAGAACTCTGTAGTACCGGTTCCACAGGATACTTTTAATCCAGGTCTTTCACAGGAACGGCTACAAATTCATGTACTGCTCAGCCAGAGCCATCGGCATGGCCGACATGACCCGAGGGTACCTGCACTGGGTCAACGAGAGGGGGACTATGCTGCCCATGGGCCCGGTGCTGCTCAGCCCCAGCAGCCTGTTCTCTGCCTTACACAGGTCAGAACCTGCAGTACACGCTCTACTACTAGTACTACTACAGTACAGAACGATCGAACTTCATCTGTGAACTAGACTAAAAAATGCACACATGTGTGTGTGTGTGTGTGGTCCTATCATTCAGGGAGATGATTGAGAAGAAACCAGAGAAGTTCAAGGTGGAGTGTCTGACGGACATCAAAAACCTCTTCCATCCCAACACGGAGCCTTTCTACGCCGCCTTTGGCAACAGAGCCACAGTAAACACACACACACGCACTCTCTCTCTCTCTTTGTCCACTTGTGTCTGTGAGGCTAACGACTCTGTTCTGTGATGTGAAAGGATGTGTTCTCCTATAAAGAGGTGGGAGTTCCACTGAACAGGATCTTCACTGTCAATCCCAGAGGAGAACTGGTCCAGGAACTGTCCAAGACCAACATCTCCTCGTGAGTTTGGGACTTCGTACACATCCTTCTCATTAATTCTATTTTTGTTCCATTGTTTGGTCACATCTTATATCAACTAAAGTACAAATGTGTGTACATGAAGTACCAGGACAGTACCAGAACAGTTTGTGTGTTTTTATTATTGTTTTCTTTTAATCTGTTAAATTAGTTAAAAGATTTTTAATTTATAATTTACAAGTAGAACAAGTTCTGTGTAACTGTGACAGTTTTCTGTCTGTCAACATGGAGCATGTATCTGTCCTCCTGCCCTCTGGGTGGTGCTCAACACATCAGTTTTTCTTAGCTCTGCTTTTGAATAACATGAAAATGTATGTGTGTGCCCCTCAGCTTTAGCCACCTCTGTGATATGGTGGACCAAGTCTTTCCATTCTTGGTTCAGGACCTGGGACCAGGTCCTCTAAGCACTGGACCCTCAGGCAAGTGTGAAGCCTGGGGTGGAAGAACCTGCACCCAGGAGGAAGATGAAGACCCTGAGCCCCTGGAGACCTGCTGAGGAAACCCCTCGGGTCCAGCTCCCAGCCGTCCCCACTGAGTCAGAGTGATTAGAACTAAGGAAACAGAGGAGCCCACAGGTTATGGCCCAACTAAGGTGACAAGTTTAAAGTGGTATTCAGCCACGCAACAGCCTCTAAGGATGGAAGTATCACTACATGTACTACAAAGCTGCTACAATATAGTACTTCTTTAAGGAGTTTTTTTTGTTGTTGTTAAAATATGTTCAGGATGCACTGACACTAAGACACTTCAGCTGGAGACATTAACCTCTGACCTCCAGCCAACAGTCTATGGACACTGGTGCCACATCTCCATCTGCCCCTCATCCACCTCTGCTCCAGCTTCACTTCGTCTCCACTCCCCCTCTGATATTCTCTCTATTTCCTGTTGTCTACTGACTCTACTTCCTGTTGTCTACTGATTCTACTTCCTGTGTCCCAGCCTCTTTTTCATTGGCTGTTGTCCACACATGCAAATACATATTGTAACATATTGTATATTGAGACCTTTTGAAACAGGACTGAGGAGGTCGTGAACCCTGGTCCTTGGTCCAGGGCTGAGCTAAATGTGACCTTTGACACTGAACAGCTGAGATTAATGAACTTTTTAGTTTTTCACATCTAACTTAGGATTTTATTTTTAAACAATGTTTTGTATTGTTTATTATGAATGAAAATGTTTTTAATCTGAACCAGATATGAGGCTTTAACACACACACACACACGTGAGTGTCGTCCGGACTCTTCCACATACTGAACAGTGCAGCTCGTCCTTCAGCCTCAGTCTGACCTCTGACACTCATTCACTTGTGTGTTTGAGTCATCAGTTCAGTCTTTGTCCTTCAGCTCCGTCCACTAATACACTGAAAGATATAGTTTTATTTTTTTATATTTCCACAGGTGTGTGTTTCCTCCACCTGTTCCTGCTCCGTCCATGTGTTTTTAATGACATCACATCCACATGTAGTTAAACTACAGAACCTCCTCTGTTTTATTTGACTGACATTTCTGAAAACAAAACACTCTGATGTGACTGTACTCTACATCCTTGGAGCTCATATTACCACTGCCTGTAAACTGTATTTCAAACCTCTGAACCTGTTGTTCAGACAGGAAGATAAAGAGCATGCTGTCGTCCCAGTGACCTACAGGAAATACTTCTGTGATGTGTCATAATTAGACAGTGAAGAAAGACCCAGTCTCTTTAAGAATGTCCTAATAATTTTGCTAATGCACGAGTGGCTACTAATGTGGTCTGCAGCCCACTGTGGTCTGCAGACCACCGTTCTGTCAAGGTGGAGAATAAATGTCAGATGATTGGAAGCCTTTAGTAATTGTATTATTGAAGAAGGGGCAGCAGTGACTGAGATGGTTTTGACATTTGAAGAGAAGGACCAGGAGGAGGAGGTGGTGTGTAACGGTGGAGGACACAGAATCCTACTGAGACAGTAGCAGAGTTTAGCTAAAAGATGTTTTAATTTAGAAACAAATGATTAAATGACATTACATTTGAACGATGTCATCAATCTG